GTTATGGAAAGATCGGGTTCCAAAGGCCGGATCCCTTGTGAATCAAGTCACGAAAAGTTCAAGAATCGGCAACAGGCCATGGGCCTATTTCTTCAACGCCGACACTTCTATTCTATTCTATTCTATCTCCAGTGCAGAAATCAACACATCGTTGTCCCTCTCGGCCGCGTCTCGGGCACTTGCCGGCGCATGCCTCTGAAGCGGCTGAGCCCCTATACACGAGGCTAGTAGCGTGGACAGTTCAAGCGGCGGATGAACTGGCGGCCAGTACTGTCCCTGTGTACAGGCACCTATACACGAGGCTAGTAGCGTGGACAGTTCAAGCGGCGGATGAACTAGCGGCTAGTACTATCCCTGTGTACAGGCACTTTTAGGTCCTAATAAACATACGTACCGAGTTTCATCGGGCTGCTTTGATTACTTTGGGAGATATCTCTTGGTCATTAAATTTGGAGATCAGCCGCGAATCAGGCCGTAAATTTATCGGAGATCTTTATGTCAATTAGCGAACAATAAACTACTTTGCTAACGTATGTTGTATCCAGAAGACACATAGATGGAAATTGGTAAATTTGGGCTTCTATAGACATGAGAATCTGCTCATTCGTACTATAGGATAAGTTGTATTTTGGATTTATTATTTGTTGCAAACATTTGCCCACGTAGATATGAATCGCCCTATGATTGATATCTAGTAATCGAAAAGTTATGGGCAATGTAAAAGCACGGTTGACACCGAATCGACACTTTTGCGAAAAATAACCTCAAACTATGCAATTTTTTGCCTGTATAAAAATATTTGACTGATTTTTCCGACTTAATCATTCAACTTTTATCTATAATTCACTCAGCGTATAGCATTTTTTCTGTGTAGTAGAATTCATGTATAAGAGATATGTAGGAAATTACGAAACATATAAATTTAAATCTTTTCTGGTTTATTCCAAACAAACGAGTAATAAAATAGTGAATAATTTGATTCAAGATGAAATTATTTAGTCTCATAAGAAAATAATGTAGTATTATCGTTCATTGTTTTTTATAAAGCACTTATTTTCTGCACCTGGCACCGTAGCATTAGCGTTGGAACACAACTAGGTGTCTGCCCAACAAATTCCAATGGTTTGGTTGTATGCGGGTCTAATTCGAAGGAGTTAATAAATTTCAAAATGGCATCAGGGTTACCTAAAAGAATAATAAAGGTGAAGCTTAGTTAATCAATTTACGACTTTGAAACGTACTGCTTGAAATTATTTGCCAGGTTTAAGCTGATTGATGTTGAACTTTTTTTTTCAGTACAAAGTCTTGTTTTATGTTATCAACTTTGTTGCGGCTGCGGCATCGATCACCATCACGATCGTATCATTTATTTTGTATTCATTCTACTCAAAACTGTTTTGGGGTTCAATTTCATTATTTACGTTGTTTGTTCTATAAATACCCATGAATGAGATTTGTTCTTGAAAGTTGAATCTACCTATTCAAAAAATTGAACCGTCTGTTCTTTCCTTACAGCTTATGAGTCAGGCTCAGGGCCATGTCATGTGCATGATCAAATCACCAATGCATCATCGCATTGCTCTGAACTTCTGAACTTGAAGTGCTAGGTAGTATTTTTCTAGACTGAGGACTCTATTGTTTGTTTTTTTATGGTTCAGTTCATTACCTGACAATTGATACATTATATAGTTTGTTGATTTTCGAAGCTCAGCCTCTAGTCAGTACCTAGCCTAGCTGCTAGCGTAAACGCGGTATAATGTATATTCCAACACTTTAAGGACGTAGCAAAAAATGAATGGCTATAAACAAATTACCGTACGCGCAACTCGAGTTCCGTTTGCTTTATGTCACTCTCAAAACACTGCACTACGTGCCAGCAACAATGAAATGTCACAAAATGTTGCCATATTTATTTAAAAGCCTTTAGAATGCAAACCTACCAAATCCATATATTCCGACAGACCAACACTGTGTGTGACTAAATTTGGCATTTTGTGAGACTAATTCCGGCTCACCGGCTGCGCTTCAAACTCTACTAATTTGTAATTCCGACACTCTTGTGTTCAAATTCCGATCGCTGTATGAGCTGTATTGGAATACTACACGGCTTGGAATTAGAACACTATTGAATATTGAACACTACTTATTTAGGCTTTTAATTAAGAGCTATTAAGCTTTTAATTAAGAAAATTTTAATTTTTGCACACAGCTTGGAACAAGCTGTGTGTGTCTAATTCCAAGCTGTGTTCAGTTTGTTGGAATTAGTTTTTATGTGTCTAATTCTAAAACCGTCTCTTAACTTAATCATCTATTAATTTATTTACCACTTGAAATCAGTAAATACAAGTATACTCAAAGGATTCCTAATATATTCACAGACGTATTTAAAAGTCTCAAACCATAATATTCTTTCTACACAAACAGTTTATCACTATTTGGTAGAGCAAGGTCAATCATCAACTTTGATACATTTTTCAATGTTCTCACTGGGTGACGTGCACTGTCTCTCTTTGGAATTTGGATCTCAACATTTTCCTGCCAGATGGCCCACGCCAAGACCTAGTATTTTGGCAATAGTATGGCGCGCAAAAGTATGACATCACTATTTCAACCATCAAGGAATGCATGGAACTAAGAAAAAGTGTAATATAAAGGAAAAAAGTTGAGAAGTGTCAGAATTACCCACGATGTCAGAATATAACGCGTTTACCCTAGCTCGACAGTGCTGTATAATAATTAGCACCAGAAAAAGCGCTCCTTTTCTTACGTCCAAAGTTCAGTTCAGTACAATCTTATCAGATATCATAGTTATATCACTGCATAGTATCTAAGCTGAGACATTAGTATAAGACTCTTCCTCCAGTTCATTTTTGAGTTCTATCTACACCTTGGAGACTGGAGTAGGTTGGACCAGCAATAGCAGCAAACGCAAAGTATCATGGATGACAAATTATAGTCAAATGGTATTGGTATAAATTTTGAGTAGATAGAGCTAGCGGCAAGCTAGATAAATTGGAATTGGTACAAAATAGAGTGGAAAGATTGGCACTAGGAGCCCCCCAGGTGGACTGCAGTAGAGGCCCTGAGAGGAGACATGGGTTGGAGTACCTTCAAGGAAAGAAGGATGAGAGCAGTTTTGAGGTACAGCAATCCCTTGATTAACGCGGTTAATAAATCCCCGAGTTTTACCGTGTTAAGCAAAACGGCGCTAATCAAACTTAGAATATATGGGAATATTTATAATGAATCCTCAAAAATAGCAAAGGAAAGGAAAATTATGTAGTTTGATAGAAGTGAGCAGTAGATATGGCAGCGATCTTGACCAGTTGAAGGCTAACGAGTAACTAGCCCTTTACGCACTGATTAATAAGCAAAAAGTAACACTTTTGTTACGAACGTAACACCTCTGGCTAGAGGTGGGAAAATGATGCGTTGTGAAAAAAAAGTCGCGCTAATCAAAACTGGCACCGCGTAGATTAAGGGTAGGTGGCAAATTTTTTTTCCGCGTTTATCAAAACCGCGGTATTCAAAACCGTGTTAATCAAGGGATTGCTGTATAAAGTGAGACTGGAGCGAATGGATGAACGTTGGGCTCAAAAGATGTATATGTGGAACATGAAGGTGATCAAATGGGCACGCAGATGTTGGGCAGTGGTGCGTAAGTGTGGCCTGCATGAAGCATGGGTGCGCCAAAGGCACGCTGGGCCAAAGGACAAATGGGTGGTGACAGTACGGGGTGCGATTGGGATAGAGTGGGATGAAAAAGAGTGGAAAAGAGAAATAAATGAGCGAGTAAAAGACTATGGGCTGAAGGTATGGAAGCAAGGAATGGAGGGAAAGGACTCTCTAAGACTGTATCAGATGAAAGCGATGCCAAAATATGAATGTATGCATGATGGTAGTAGAGGTGGGGACCTTCTGTTTTGTGTTAGGGCAGGCGTGCTAGGTGTGAATGGACGTACATACAGGTGGAATGAAAGGAGAGTGTTTACTGTTTGTGCAGTCTTTTGTTTCCTGCATTCTGATTGGCATGCATGAAACAAGAGACTGTGCCATAGTCTCTTGTTTCATGCGTTCTGATTGGTTCTCCAATCACGTGAACTTGGTCACGAAGCTCAGTTGCATTTGACAACTTTTTTATCTGCAATGGCAGCATTTCATCTTCAGCGTGCAATTTCTACATCACCATGTCTGGAAAGTGTAAATTACCAAATTTCATGACTTGTGGTTAAAAATAGAAGCTTATCATAACTGGCTTGCTTGCCATCCAAAGCATGAAGGTATGACGTTATGTACATTGTGCTCGAAAGACTTCGATGTGTCAAACATGGGGGAAGCAGCTTCGATGAGCCATGCCACTTTTGAAAATCCATGAAGAGCTATGCATTTACATGTTTGCAATTTATCAACTGTAGGAGATGATAGAATATGCATGGCTAGTCTTTCAGTCATGCTAAACCAATTGTAAATGAGTCTTGGAAAATTATATTGATGGTCATGGAGAGTCATGGAATTTTTTTCTAAATACCGGTACAAACCCTGCAACATGAAGCTTTATATGCTCAATTTTGTTATTTTGTTAATTTATTTTCAGTCAAACTGGTTAAACAATTCTTGTGCTATGGTTATGTAACCCACATCAATTTTCATTTTCCTCTGTTAGCCTGTATAGGCGATACCGTAAAATGGGGTAACTTAGACCACTTTTTTTTTCTATAAATGATGCCATTTTTATAATAGCTAAATTAAACTTGAATTGAAACATGCAAAATACAGGTCTATACTCCAGACCATAAATTGCTGGCTCCTGCCTCTCATAGTCTTTATGTAATTTAAAAAAAAGTGATGGTCTTTGTTACCCCAGCTCTTGGGGTAACTTAGACCGGGTGGTAAAATCAATTATATTTTTTGGTAAAATAACTCCAAATAACTCCAGGTTTTGGTGCATTGTAAAAGAACTCTTCTAGTTACATATGCAAATGACAAACTTGAGGAAAGTGTCATAGTTTGCAAATGGGGGCGCCGCCCCATAATGAGGGAAATGTGACTACCTAATGGCAGCCCTGATGGGGTAATATTGACTGGCTTGGAAATTAAGTTAAAATTACCATATATAAGACTCTGTAGAGTCAAACATGAAGAAAAAAAATAAATAGGCTGTCAAACATAAAATATGTTATATATGGTAATTTATATTAACTTCCAAGCTAGTCTATGTTACCCCGTCAGGGCTGACATTAGGTGGTTTAAGTTACCTCATTTGGGGGCGGCGCCCCCCCATTTGCAAACTATGACACTTTCCTAAAATTTGTCATTTGCATATGTAACTAGAAGAGTTCTACTATAATGCATAAAAACCTGGAGTTATTTAACCAAAAAATAAAAAAATTGGAGGGGGTACTCTGACAGGCTTTAAATGACTACCTAATGGCAGCCCTGATGGGGTAATATTGACTGGCCTGGAAATTAAGTTAAAATTACCATATATAAGACTCTGTAGAGTCTAAAACATGAAGAAAAAACATAAATAGGCTGTCGAACATAAAATATGTTATACAGCAATCCCTTGATTAGCACGGTTTTGAATACCGCGGTTTTGATTAACGCGGAAAAAATTTTGCAACCTACCCTTAATCTACGCGGTGCCAGTTTTGATTAGCGCGACTTTTTTTCACAACGCATCATTTTCCCGCCTCTAGCCAGAGGTGTTACGTTCGTAACAAAAGTGTTACTTTTTGCTTATTAGATCTTATGTTGTTACTTTTGTTACGACTTTTGGAAAAATTCGCCAAATGTTGTTACTTTATGAATTTCAGCCAATAATTCTTTAAATAAGGTCCCATTCCGTAGGCACTCATGCTGACTACAGAGTCGGTTTAACCGCGTCTTGTCTCGTTCATAACTCGAATGGTCGAGTTCGGCAACATTCGCCGCTAAGTGCGCCATGCCATGATGCCGGTGCTCTAGTTACTCGTTAGCCTTCAGCTGGTCAAGATCGCTGTCATATCTACTGCTCATTTTTATCAAACTACATAATTTTCCTTGATAAATTACCATCATAATTAGGGACAAAAAGGGAATGCTTAAATGTAAAAATATCACTTTGGAGACTAAGCTTGAAATAATTAAGCATTTTGATAATGGTGAAACGAAAACAAAGATCGGTGAAGAATTATTAAAAAAAATTATTATGTAACTTTGCTATTTTTGAGGATTCATTATAATTATTCCCATATATTCTTAAGTTTGATTAGTGCGGTTTTGCTTAACACGGTAAAACTCAGGAATTTATTAACCGCGTTAATCAAGGGATTGCTGTATATGGTAATTTTATATTAACTTCCAAGCCGGTCTATGTTACCCCATCAGGGCTGACATTAGGTGGTCTAAGTTACCCCATTTGGGGGCGGCGCCCCCCATTTGCAAACTATGACACTTTCCTAAAATTTGTCATTTGCATATGTAACTAGAAGAGTTCTACTACAATGCATCAAAACCTGGAGTTATTTAACAAAAAAATAAAAAAAATTGGAGGGGGTACTCTGACAGGCTTTGAATAATAGCTTTTTTTTTTGTGGGTCACATTTTTAATTTTTTAACCTATTAGATGTGCAAACTTTTTAAATCTTTCTATTGTGTTATGTAGCCTCAGTATTAGGCCTTTAATGCCCATTAACCAAATTTTTCTATGTCAAATAGTTTTTGAGTTGTGGGGGTTTTTGTTAAAAAAACAAAAAGTGGTCTAAGTTACCCTGCCGGTCTAAGTTACCCCATTTTACGGTACTCTAACATTGATTACAAATGATGCATGAATATCATTTCATGGCCCCCAAAACTTACGAGTTAATATTTTATTAAAAACCTGGCATTGATTAATATTAATAAATTTTTGAAAAATGTAAATTTCATAAAAGAAAATAGAGCTTATTTTTGTATATCATATCTAAGTTGTATAAACAGTCTCATTTATCTATTTTCACAATTCGTAGGACATTTATAGCATTTAGGAAGATGCATGCAATGTGCATTTTGACTTTGTGTACTGACATAAATATATTATCATTTAATCCAGCACTTGGCAAATACATTTCAAATTCCACATAATGATAACACTCAATGAAATTGATTACACTCAATTATGTAGCTGTTCAAATAAAGCTAATTTTATAACCTAATTAGTTTTGCCAATTTGAAAGGTTCAACATTTATTGACAGGAAAGACAATAATCTAAATTCTTTTTCCCTAGGAATAATTGAAGACAATCAACTAACAAATCAACTATTGATTTTATTATCACAAGTAATTTATATAATGGAAATGTTAACACTTTTTCAAATGAATTTCACTAGGAAGCAGATATGTTAGGTAGGGTAGTTAGTAAGTTTTGGTAAATTTAGTACAAGCTGCCATCATCATGGAGTTGTAATTCCATGTTGATGCATAGTGATACATTCAAACTGCAAAGCCAACTGAGTTATTATGGCACCAATAATTATGGCAATAACAAACTTGTTAAAAAGAGTTCAGGAACAGAAAACTTTTACTTTCATTTGTTTCTTCAAAACAAGGCAACCAAAATTTGAAATGTTTCACTGTGAGTCGAACTCTCTTGTATTTATGAGGGAAATTATACTGACAAATCATTGCATATCTGTTGCCATAAGAAACAATTAGGGAAGTTTCTCTGATGGCAAACTAATGTATCATCCAGTCCATCAGAGAGCCACATCTATGACTATGACTGTCCTTATTTAATAAAAAATTGCAAGTTAATGTAGTATAACTAGTTACAAATGATTACTTTATTGGTATTGCTTGATCAAATTTCTGGAAGAAATATTGAGGTTTCTCATTAAAATCTAAGATTCATCAGCAAAATTACATGCTGCCACAGAGATCCAAATCCTGAAATACGTTTGTGTATGTTTATGCTTTATACCCAGGTGTGGCATGTGTTGGAAAGGAAAATTGCCTGAAAAAGCATGTCAGAGCAAACATAATAAATTTATTTAGTAGAACAAAACTTAGTTAATTATGCATTCATAATTGGAGCATCAATGATGTAATCAGGGAGGCTGTTCCATATGTCAGTGACTTAAAGCAAGAAGTGTTATTGCATGGATGAGTTACTATGTGTTTTTTTTTAGTTTATTGCCATGGCCCCTGGTGTTGATTCTTGTTTGACATTCTATTAATCCTGGGAGTGGGACCTTGTATAAACCATGAGTGTACTTGTATACTTCAATGTGGTCACGACACAGATGTCAATAACAGAGGCTTGGAAGCATCATAATCTTTAATCTTAATCAGTAATCAACAATGTCTTGAAGCCAGTATGGAAAAGTGCAATCAATAGAACTTGAGCAATGAACTAGTATTCAATTTGATGCCTTTAGTAGATCTTGATGCTTTCCTTTCTTCTTCTAAATATGTTGTAACAAGTATTTTTGGTGACCGTGGCAAGCAAGAAACCAGTACTGGAATAGGAAAATGGCGCAGAAGTCACCCATGAGTGAGAAAAGAATGCTTAAGCGAGGTTAATTTTCTCCACTTGTATGGCCTCTGCCTAACTTCTTTCATAAAATATAAGATAATCCTTTTTGCCTTCAATTTTTGAAAACAACCTGTCAAATGGCAGTCTTTACCGTTGATTGTAGGAATATTTCATCTGATATTTGAGTTTGTTTGTTAAGAAAGAAGAAATTCCAATTTGCCAGTTAATTTGAAATTTACTGATTTAATTCAATATGATATTAAATATCTTCGACTTGTTAATGCTGATATTTTAGTGTGGGGAAGGTCAGTTATCAAAAACAAGCCTGTATTCATGGATGTGCATATTTATCAAATTAGCAGCAATGAAAAAAAATTCCTCACTGTGGGTTTGGTTTCTAAACCATGGATCATAATTCCATTCATAATGGGTTTACCATCATGTCTCAATTATTACAGTAAAAATGACCACATAAATATTTTGCTTCGCTTTCTAGATATTTAAACATATAACGTTATTTTTTGTCCATAATGAGTCAATTTTATTATCATTTGCAGCTTTCTGACATCACTACAACTAAGTTGGACTATTGCAATTTTGGATGAGACTGTAAAATATCCTAGCCATGACTAACCCATCTTGATATTTTTTGACTGATGAGAACTCTGCTAGATGGATTGTTTCTTTTATTATTGTTGTATTATTATCATATTGTAAATAATATGATAATATATTTAGCTGCTGTGCAAGGTAGAAGTTAGGAGGGGGAATTTATGAATATGTAACTTGTGAAGGCCCACATATACTATAGTAATAAATCTAGAACTAAACATGCTTGTTGAAACTTGATGTCCACCATAAACTTTTGCTTAACCTTGTAGCATCCACCCTTTTTGACAGTGCCAATTACCACACTGCATCCATACCATTTTTCTGAAATTTATTTGTTGAAAAAATTTGATAGGGAACATGTATAACAACCTAGTCATGGTGCAATTGTTTTTTTTTTTTTATAAAATATGCCATGTGTACCATTCATAATGTAGATCTAATAAATTCCTTCCTGACTCAATTCAATCATGCTGGATCTGGTCATAAGGTCCTGCCAAGATCATTTTTTCCCTCAGAAATGTCTTTAGCCTAGAAGATATGTTACCTACAAAACAAGTACAACATAATTATTATCTAAGAAAGGGCTTTAACAACTTATTTATACTTCACATTGAACTGGGCAGGAAACACAACGGTTGATGGCAGAACCTGTTCCTGGCATCTCTGCTAAACCTGATGAAAGCAATGCCCGCTATTTCCACGTAGTAGTTGCTGGTAAGTTGCTGTTTATCCATGGAAAAATTTTATTGGACTGTACCTAATGTGGACAATTTTGCTTAAACTCAAACTATGATGCATTTAATTGACAGGCCTAGTAACAGGAATTCCATGAATAGGTTTAAATTTAACAACCAGATATTCTACTTGCTAAACTATGTTGGAGTTGCTCAGTCTTAGACCATTTTCTTTTTAAATCCTTTGTGTCATTGAAAAATGTTTTTGTATCATAATTTGTATCATTTTGTTACGACTCTTCTCTTAAACTTCACTTCTTGTTTGTTTGTTTGTCTGTCTGCTACAAATCTTATAATTGATACTTAACACACTTCTACCTCTCCAATCGATCTGAAATTTTGCACACTTGTGTAAGGTTGGAGACGATGTATGTAGGTATCAATTGACAGAATAAATAGTTTTTAAAAAGTTCACATTTGTTATGTAAAAATAAAATAAAAGAAATTACTTTTTTAATATTTGATGATAAAATTAGAAATTCATTGTACATGTGTAACACCCAAGACACTGGATTCTTTAGAAGTGTTGTCTTTAAAAATTAATTTTTAAATGCATATTATTTACTTATGTGATGGCCACAATGTGGTGAACCAATTTATGCCGTCACTCGTTTAAAAATTTTCCAATGTGAAATATATAATGAGGATAAAATTATAATGTAATATATAATAATACTCTATAAGACTGTTAGTTCAAAACACAGGTATGGCTTGAGAATAGCTATTGGGGATGTCTCAAGAGAGATCTATTCTTGTTCTAGGAGTTACAACATTATTCCAGGTTACATTTTCTCCGCGCTGATCCTGCTTGGTGTGAGTTACTCCCTGCAGGTTCGCCCTCACATCCGCTTACAAATGGACAATTATATTCAGTATGCATTGGTGAATTTAATTTTTATTTTTAGGCATCATTTTAATTGAGAATTGATTATGCATGCAGGTCCAGAAAGTTCACCTTTTGAGGGAGGTGTGTTCAAACTTGAGCTCTTCCTGCCAGAGGAGTACCCGATGAGTGCACCCAAAGTTCGCTTCATGACCAAGATATACCATCCAAATATTGACAAATTAGGAAGAATTTGTCTAGACATTCTTAAAGGTATATAATTAATGATTTTTAATTTTATAAATGGTTTATCTTACTATTCTGTATCGCTGGCAAATGTAACTATTATAAGATTATTTGTATATTTTTCTATCATTAACATAATGCCCATTTGACTTTCCATCATGATCATTTTCAGGTTTGTTCATGTAGTGTTTCAACATTCTACATGAAGATTCCAATTCTCATCATGTTTTAATGGGCCTTTTGATTTCAGTCATATATTTTATGGAGATTACATTATTTTAACTGTCACTGCTGGTTCCACTTATTAAAATCATATTTTGAAGATCATTTATTTTTTACTTGCTCTAAATTTTGTTTCTGATTTTTGTCTTAAATCTTCTTAAATGTTTACAATAGTTGAATATGTATCGTAAATGTAATATTGTACTCGTTATTTGTGCAGATAAATGGAGTCCTGCTCTTCAAATTCGTACTGTGCTGTTATCAATCCAAGCCTTGCTGTCCGCTCCCAACCCTGACGACCCCCTAGCAAATGATGTTGCTGAGTTATGGAAGGTGAGATGCTTTCATTTCCAACTCTTGATAGGTCAAGTTTGTACTTAAATTTATCATGAGCACCAATACTAGACTTTGATGCAGTGAAATGAAACTCAGTCAATCCGAGATAGATGATCGGATAAAATTTACTAATATTAAGTAACAAAACACTGAATTGGGAGCATCTTAGTGCTGATGAAACCATCGTATTTACGGCAACATCTGTTTTGTATACTGAAGTTAATTTCTGACAAATTTCAGGTAAACGAACCTGAAGCCATCAGGATTGCCCGAGAGTGGACTCGGACTTACGCCATGGGGAACTAGCCCCTGAAGTTCATAGCAAGAAATTCCTTAGTTTAGTAGACTGGTCTGACGAGAGTGCGAAGGCGGTGCACACTTTCACGCATTACTGTGTTTAGTTTTAGAGCATCATAAACTGGCTGTACTGAAGCCATTGAAGACACGCTATAGTAAGTAGTGTGGAAGTATCAGGCCACATGCTAAACCCGCTTCTAGGTTTTTCTCAAGTTTTTTATCCGAAACTACAAACAATTGGTAAATACCTAATAAAATCCAAAAATGGATGTTACTGTTATTTTCTAGCATCGAATTTATTGCTTGTGGCTCGTTCATAATTTAAATCTAAAGAAGTTTGTATAGTACAGAAGGTTCTTATAAGAAATTGCATCTCACTTCAGTTCTGGGGCAAGTTTATCAGTTAATCTAGAAGCAGTGGGTATGGTATGATAAATGATCATCACTAAAATTTTTGTATCAGCTAACGTGAAAATGATCTAATTTCCATCGAAAAATTAAATCATCCTTTCTTGAATGACCACTATCCAGCCGTTCTTCGTTGTACGCAAATGGTTATTCCGCATATCTTAATCATTTCCATCCAGTCATCCAGTTAGGGTGAAATACGCTCGTGAATTTCTAAAATTTCCAAAATAGATTTCTCATTTACATTTCTGTATTTCCAGGCGATCTAAAAATATTTCTCTAGATATTTGATAGAAGAGACTTCAGGCCAAAGACGTGAATTTGTGATTGTAGTGGACAGTTAACAATAGGGTCAAGTCAGACACATTTATTTCTAACCTTTCCGAGTGGGACTATAATTCCAATTCTTCGAGAACGTGTATGAAAGAATGTCCTTTTCTCTGGATGATAATCGTGGTGGCCAGAGTAAACAATGTATCGCATACACATGTCCTCATCCCTCGCCTTGACAACGCTTCATTCGGCATCACTGTGAGCGCTGTTGTCTGCTCTCGCGTAATACTTTTTAGGCTTTGATCAACAATGATTATGTTTCCTGTTTAACTTTTGATTATCCTTTAGTGCGGACCTGGAAAATTCATTATTGCTGGTTAATTTCCCTGTACGAACCTATTTAAAGTAAGTTGAGTCTTGGTTAAAGCGCTCGTAACAGCACGCCAGGTCGACTTTTGAGACCTTGCACCAGCGTTTGGCCAAGGTTGTGTATTTGCATTTCCTAGGCTAGTTCATACATGCGCTCTGTTTCTGTCATTTTAGCTCATGCCTGACCTCAACGGTTACTCATTTTATTTGCAATCTTCCTTTAGTGCTTGTCATGCATATCGTTTTCTATATTACTAGCTACTAGGAAAATGTAACTACAAATGATCGATTTAACAAGTCTATCGCCGAGACGTGTTATCCTCCTACAAGCGAAGAGCAGCAATGGGTACTTCTGTAATAATGCTTTAGCTCAAACTCAACATGGAATCAAAAAGAACCTCGTTAGTTGGTATTGAAAGTTGCAGAAGGCGAATGTCTGAAGTGGATTGATCTCGTTTGTCAGCAAGCAACTTGTGGTGCAAGCTTCTGCGATCACAGCAGCACTCTGAGCATTTCCAATAATTGAGTCTTGCTATTGTTTTGCCTTATCAGAAAAATCGGCTTTGTCACGCGTCCGAGATAAATATCCAAAACGGTGTTCCTTACTGGATTATGACTTGCAATATATAGTACAAGGTCAAGAGAAATTGTTTAATGTGTACCTACCAACATGAATGTTGAATAATTAGATCATAATATCACGCTTTCGTATGAGTATCTGCTCCACGGGGTTGAGCTGCATAGCTTCAATGCTCACTCTTCGTCATATTTCGCCGCACGGGATGCACTGGCTGGAATAATTTACAGTCAGTTTCGCAACCTGTGCACCATTGAGACTTGAAAGAGGTCTACTTGAGAAAGAAAGGTCTAGTTACGGATTGCTTATTCCTTGCATGAAAAATTATTTACAACGCATATATCTGCATCTAGTCTCAACTTCAGGAAAATTACATTGTACGGTCGAGTTACAGTTCCTACAGGAACCACACACTGATTATGCAGCGTTCATGTTGACATAACGATGGTTATGTACAGTGTGTACGTATCTTTCCTTGAATATGATACTTAACACGTGGACTACGTATTGGTACATATGCGTACCATGAAATGTATTTCTCCAGAAGGTAGTGGTACATAATTCAGGTTGCCCAAAATCGGCCAAATTCCGAGAACAAAAAAGGCCATAAAAAAGGCCGATAATTCAATGTATACTAGTTTATTTGTAGGTTCCGCTATAAAAATTCCATTTATTTTCTTTTTTGCAGTATTTAAAATTTAATTAGGAAGTACCTCTTATCATAAATTTTAGCCGGCCAACGCAATTGAGAAAAACTAAATCACGGAATTTGCCCGGAAAAAATGACGTCTGGCAACCCTTCTTGAAAACAGTACAAAAAATGAAATAATAGTACAAGATGAAGCAATCGTAGACAACGTGTTAATACATCAACATGATAATAATTCTTTCGAGGGAAAATTGCTGCAGGTATATTAGGGAGACGATCAGCAAGTAACCGCGACGATCGAAGCATTAAGTAAAGTTCAGCATTGAGTAAAGATAAATTCATTCACTAAGAAATTTCCAAGTATACAAATGCGGCGCTCGAAAACTTCACGAAGTCGCCATGCTGAAGAAAGTTTTCGGTGTACGCGGTGATTCGTCATACTTGCGTCAACAATTGCAAGAACTTATTCTGCATGCATGAATACAAAATCTATGTATGAACTATGATCATAGGTATAAACAGTCGCGCATAAACTTCAACATACAAGTACAACTCCAACAGTTCACCGGAAAATAGTTTTGTACTGCACTTATAACTGAAGAACGATTTAAACTTATTTGTGCCGTAGAAGAAGCGAAAAGATTGCTTACCGGGCAGATGGACGACGAGCCTTGCGGTTTTGTCTCTCAAGTTTCATGTCATTTTATTAAAGAAAGACTCTTATTGCATGCAACTGCGATGGTTTATCCTACGACTTTCCATCTGGATACAGAATTGGCAGACGAGTGTTCATTTAGCCGCACAACTTAGTAATTTTGCTTGAAACACATCTTGGTTGATATAGCAAGTAATATAAGGTTGCGTCGGAATACTGCACTTGTGATATCGTTAACAATGCGGCAAACTAGTATTATGGCTGTTCAATATTATATGTAGATTAGATTATGAGGCTTCATAAAATTAATATTGAAAAATTAGTCGACATGTGAAAACAAAGCAACGCCTCTCGTCATCTCGACTCTAGAAACTACATTTGTGAGTTCAGTATTGCAACGTGTATCTTAAAACAAATATAAAATCTATAATCTGGCAGACCAAAGAGCTTTAATAAATTCAGCTGGTATTGTTGTTACTCAGTCAAAGTAGCGCACAACTATGAATGAAAATATCCTCGGGGTAGCGGAAAGCTGATGCCTCGAATAATTCTCATTGAACCATGGAATCGGTCGCACCAAAAAAATCTGGAACTAATTTCAGTTATGTTGCGCACTAGCACAAGACACAACACCAGTAAAAGTTATTTGTTGATGAATACATAAACGAAGAACACATTCTGAAATTTTTTGAATGAACTTGATTCTTTCATGAAGGCTCGGGGCTTACAGCTCACTGAGTGAGTTCACTGAGCGATAGTAGGGCCTAGAGAGCCCTTCTTGAGCAGGTTCATGATATGCGGTACAGAGCTCGGGTCGAGGGTCTGCACAATTTCGTACTTGACGCCTTCACCGTCGCGCATTCCGTCGCCCGCCGTCACTGCTACGAGCTCGTCACCTCGCAGCTCCAGCACCTGGTCAACACGAACGTTTCTTAGAACCTTTATTTACCTATGTAAGATTCAAGTTGATTTATTGTAGAAAAAGTTGCATTGTATCCAACTGAATGCTGTGGTACATCGTATCAAGTTTCATCTGTCTCAATAATTGGTTGACGAAAATTTATTTAACCGCACATCATAGCAACTTTGCTTTAAGCAGCTGTAGCATCTGGTCTCCACGAACGTTTCTTAGAACCTTTATTTACCTATGTAAGATTCAAGTTGATATATTGTAGAAAAAGTTGCGTTGTGTCCAATTAAATGCTATGGTACATCTGCATCAAGTAGCTACTCAGCAGAAAGTGCATGTACCACACCGCTCGTTAACAAAAAACTTATAATACTGATCAAAACTGAGATTTGTAGGGTCCAATTGCCACATAATAACTAAAAAGCTTCTTCGCTTGCACTAGAAAGAGGTGGGTCAATTTTGTTGGTAAATAAATCGTTTCAATTAAAGGCCGGTGACTTAAGTAGCGTGGCATTATCAGCAGGTTATCAACATTGACGATACATAGAATAAGTAGAATGAACTCAGTTTAAAATGTTGACATTTTATCTCGGAACATTGATAACATCATTTTAATGGGAAAAGATATTGTGAAGTTTCATCAAAAATAGCTTAACTTGGGACGAGTCTTAATTTGACATTTCATTAGAGAAAGAACTGATGAAATTCGAAATGCCAATTGTTTGATACTCATGTTGTCACACAACGTCAAATGCTCCCAAAAACTGCGTTAAAAACACAAACCTGAACTCCGGTGCCGTGTAGCGTGTGCAGCTGCAGCTGTTGACCGTCCAAGAGTCCTCCGGCCGCCCCTTGACCTCCGAGCAGGAAGGTCGGGCCGTTGCCGAGTCCTGTTATCTCCATGGGCTGCAGGTGCTGTTGCTGGTGGTTCGTCGCATTGTCGTGGTTGTTAGTAGACATTGGAGCAGTTTGAATTTCCAAAGAGCGAGCTTGCAAAGACTTATTTGTTGATGTTGGGGGATGTTCGATGAGCATTAGGTGCTGACCATGCTGCTGTTGCTGATCGTTCTGTAAGTGAAGAGCTGATTGTGTCTGCGGCAACACGTGCGGCAAAAATTGAACTTGATTACTTTGATCGACATGTAGAGTAACGGAAGGTTGCTGCTGCTGTTGTTGTTGCATTTGTTGATTATGTTGCTGTTGATTTCTGGGTGTTGTTTGTGATGGCATACCAACAGGACCGTCTTTGCGACTGCGGCTCTTCTTACACTTGCGCTTGTGAGCATCGTAGAGACGCCGGTAAAGATACAAGTACTGGCAACTGTCGCAGCGATACGGGCCATCACTGCTGTGCTTCTGGCTGTGGGACTCCAGGTCCTCGACGGTCGTGAATGAAGCGTCGCATAAATCGCACTCAAAGGGACGCGCCGCATTGTGCTGGTGCTTCAACCTTTTGAATGAAGGCTTCACAGGGTTAAATGCGTTCAATTCTGATTCTTTTTTGATCTTGGTGGCGATAAAAGGTTTTTTGAGCACCGAATGAGACGTAGTTGGCTGAGCAGTGCCTACCGCAGCACGCGCTACCATACCGGGATCATCGGCTGCAAGTTCTTCCGCTTCCTGGGAGATGTTATACTTGATGTCCTCCTCCCGAGCCGCCAACTGCTGGTTAGCACCACTCTGAACAGCATTGTTCCTACTGTATCTATCAGTTAGAGTTCGTGCCGTGCGCCGCCTCGTGTTGGGCAGGTTGCCTTTGAGCGACTCATGAGTGGGGAACTCTCGTTTGATGGACGGTGTTGCAGGCGGCTTGATGAGGTTGCCTGGTTGTGGGGTCATGGTGGCACGTTTCTTCTCACAACGTGACTTGTGGCTCTTGTAATGACTCTTGTACATGAAGCTGAAGTGACAGTCCTCGCAAGTGAAGGGACCATCACCTGAATGCTTGCGTCTGTGCTCTTCACACTCGCTCTGCTCAATGAAGGAGGCAGTGCATTGGTCGCATTTGAAAGGCCGATCATACGGCGCTGTCTTGGCAGGTTCGTTTGCAGCACCGCCAGGGGCAGATATCCTGCCTTTATCTGAAGTCAGCTGAGATGAGAGATTCTGAGATCGTTTGTTGCACATTTGCTGCCCCATAGAAGACAAAAACCTGCTATTAGTAGCGCCCAAAGGCTGTTGGGTGCTATTATTGTGAGCTTGTTGGGCCTCTGACTGAAGGACAGCAGTTTGGTTCTGTTGGGAGACAAGAGGAAGTTGCCTCATCGCTGTTGTTCGTTCTTGTCGACTTGCACTTGAGTTTTGCACCAGCAGCTGACCACCAGACTGCTGCAGCTGGTGCAGGTCTGTAGCCGCCACTATGTACGAAGTGCCAGCAGTCGAGCCGTCAATGCTGGTCGTCATCATGACACTATTGCTGTCGCCAATACACCCGCCGCTAACAGACACTTCAGGGAGCTTCAATATCTGCTGCTGCTGCTGCTGATTATACGAGAGATTTGAGTGGCTGAAGTTAAGGGGTGCAGCAGATCTTCTAAGCACATTTCCATCTGTATTACCGGTGGATGAAGACATCGATGCCATGTCTGCACTGCAATTAACAGCAAAACCTTGATCTGGACTCCCATCCAGACCTTTGCTGGCAACGGATGCACCATTTTCGGGCTGTTGTACCATGATCTGCGGGATTAAAAAAAGGCCATCAAGAATCTTCAAGGCTTTGGAAATTACAGATTCGCCACAAAGAAAGGTCACCATACTAAAATAAGCAGGTTCAAACCAAATTTTAATCTGAATGACATCCACGACTCGCCTGAGACTGACTACTATATATATAAAATTTTCAAAAGTTATTGGATGCACTCACCATGAAGAAGTGTATACCATAGATGTCAATAAAACCTTTAGTGAGATGCATTTATACAATTTCTTTCTGGAAAGCTTTTAAGTTCTCGAAAAAGTTAGGTAATTTCAGTGGATAGAGTAAAATTGTAATTATCACACCATATTGACCCTTGAAAATATTTCAAATGCTTTTGATGTTCTGTCAAATGAAAAATATAATTCCTTAGATATCTTTTGCCAGTTAAAAGGCTGCTGAAAATAAAGACTGGTTCAAACCTAATTTTCTACAGCCAATTACACTGATAGCAAAAGTGATAGATGATGGCTAAGCAATGGCAATTGCATGTGCATCCGTGAAAAGCAATTTAAAAGATAATAATTAATTGAAAAATTCATAACCAAAAGTACCAGCAACAATAACGGAGATACTATGAGTAAATAAAAAGTCAGGGCTTCTATGATCAGTGACTATTAGTAATAATACCTAGTCATGCAATGACTCAAAGTAAATGGTGTAAATCTGACTTTGCTGAAGAGTAGGTAATTAGTTAGGTGACACTCCCATGAGAATTTGAAGCACAATGCAGAGCAGATGGAATTCAGTGGCATTAGTTATAGGCTCTTCTAACCTGCTGCTGATGAAAAGCATTGATTGGTTCAAGGTGCGAGGAGGTGATTGGTTGGAGGTGCGAGGATGTGGTTGGAAGTAGAGAGTTTATTGGTGCATGGAAATTCTGAGATGACAATGGTTTTGACAAATTAATCTGAGAAGTGTTCACTGGATGATGGGATGATGGAACATTTTGATTTAATACATGGCTGGTCATTGACTGGATTGAGAGGGAAGGAGAGGTTCTGCTTGACTGGTGAAGCTGATGGGAGTGTGAGGATGTGGGTAGGGAGTAGTGGGGCAGATGTGCTGAGTCACTTGACTGATCCATCAGCACCTTGGTAGGAGAGACACAATGTTAGCTTGCAACCAAAGTTCTGTTTATCACGTTGCACTCAACATAGACAGAACTTTAGTTCCCATGGAGTAAAAGCAGCATTTCATGATGAGAAATATTATAGAGCAACAAAAAATTAAATAATGACTATAAATTGTACAAAAAATACACACATAAAGTCAGTGCTCTATCAGGTAAGTGGGGAGGAAGCTTGCAGAAAAATTTTAATCCCATTGAGGCCAACTTGAAAAATCAGTCAATTAGTGGGATTGACCTATTCATTCTATGAATGGGATAGCTAAGTGCAGAAAGAACTGAACCAGCATTTCATGCCATTTTAAATAAAAACTAAACAAAACCTGCTTTTTAGAACACCAATCATCCATGCATTCATCAAATAAATTAGCAAAGGTGACAGTGGGATTAGAGAACAGTGATTTCTTTCTTTTATGCAAGTTTGATTGAAGACCAAAGCATGATTTTTATTAACAATCTTCTTATTTGTTTTTTCAACGAGTCAAACAAAATTTCTTGCAGGCACTGGGAGATCAAACAGCAGGTTACCAAATGACAATTTAATGAAATGCAATTTTCATATATACAATATTTACTATCAAGCAGTTGAAGGGTTTTGAAACACTTGAAATGAAATTTGTGGAAATGACAGTAGTGCAAATCATTAAAATTGCTCTAAAAAAAACTTCAGCATCTGGACAAATCCTGTAGTTTAGAGGTTGATAGCTGGAGACTCGCTCTTGATAATGAGGGCTCAGCTATTGCCAGTCTTGAAGCAACAGGGCACCGCATAACTATGCTGGTGCAGGCCTCCAACATCGCTCAAGTGATGGTGTCATTGTGAGCCTCCAGCAGTGTGGTTCTTAGGTCCTCCAGATTGTAGATGGCATGGGAGTCGAAAGCTTAAGGTCGTGCTAGTAAGACCAATATAGTTTATATTTTGAAGAAGTCTATTATCTTTCTTTATTACATGAGAATTTATAAATGACATTAGTTTCTTGAAGCAATCCATATCTTTTACAGGGATTATTATTATTATTCAGGACAAGGTTTTTAATTTTCTTATTTTATAGTACGGGTAGATTAGATATTTTATTTTTATTTATTTATTTTTGTTATCTGTTGCGCTCTTTATATTATTATGGATGATTGACTGTAGGACTCATTCATCTACTTTGTAGCCTCTGTTCTGGTTTTTGTAGAAGATTGTTATGATGGTTCCATCAAATACTGCTTCACTGTTGGTTCAGTTTTTCTCAATCAATAATTTTATATTTTAGTGTCAACAGTTCTATTTTAAAATCCACTATTTATTAGGATTTGTTTACAAGTTCGGAGTTCAGTTTTCAAATCACTCTTGAATGTGCAGGTCTTGAATGCTCTTTGTATGAGAGCGTGCACAGTGCTTGTTTTATAGTGTTGACGGCATTCACTACATATTTGTAGGTTTTTGGTAAACATTAGTGACAAAGGAATTATCTTCAATTTGCACTAATATATATCTAGGAATGGCAATTGGTGATTTTGTCCATTTTCATGGGAAAACTTTAAAACTGGTACATGATCTAAAGCTCTTTGCAGTTCATTCAAGTACTTTTTGTCTTGAATGACAACAAAAATGTCATCTACATATCTGTAGTAAAGCTCAGGCTTGATGTGTGCATAAAGTAATAAGCAATACATTTTGTTTGACTCATTGAAAAAATAAATAAGAAGGTTGTTAATAAAAGCATGCTCTGGTCTTCAATCAACTTGCACATATATATATATATATATATATATATATTGTTGAAACACATGCAATTAATGACCAGAGAATGCAATATTTTCCATTTATCAGGGAGTATAAAAATTCTTCAGATGATGTTAATAGATTAGAAGGCAGGTACTTATAATATATTTAATGACGTTTTGACAATATCAACATTAATTTTCAAGTTTTAAGAAGCATTGAACAATAAAACTTTGGAGGACACAAGTACATAATACACACAAATAGGATAAAACACTAATATTTCAAAACTGAAAATGACTCTGAAAACTATCTCATAGTTCAGACAAATCCAGTAGTCGAAAACAGATAGCTGGATTCCAATCCCCATAGATGAGGGTTTTAGCTATTGTTGGTCAGTTAATATTGGATGCAACTGCATGATGTTCCTCTAGCACAGTTTGAGCAATGGTCTTGTGACCTTGTCTCAGGTGGTTCTTCTGCCCTCCAGACTGAAGATGGCAGGAGAGTTGATTTCAATGACGTACCCATAGTTGTTAGTCCAAATACTTCAATGCAGTCCAAAAGATGAATAAGTCTACTACCTTCTTTGAAGCAAAATTTATAGACTACACAGGCCTAATGATGATGATGATGATGATGGACTACATTGGAAAGCATCATCATCATGCAGAGGTGCACAATAATAAACAACCAATGATTGCTGGAAACCTGATCACTTTGGATTGAACCCCAGCTATCTATTTCCAAACTACTGGATTTGTCTAAACTTTGACCAAGTTTTTGGAGCATTTGTCTCTGGCTCAAACATTTTTTTTATATCCAATTTATGTGTATTAGGTATGTACTTATGTCCAATAAAATTTCATTATTCAAGGCTTCTCTTAACTTAAAAATGATTGTTGTTGCATTCGAAATATGATTAATATATTATTATTACTTACTAAACCAGCCTTTTGATCTATCAACATCATCTAAAGAATTGTTCAACTCCTTGAAAATTGTAATACATTCTCTGTTCATAAATTGCATGCACATAATCAAGAAAATTCTGTCATCTAATACTTCCAATCATAATATATATATTTATAGTCACATCTGAAACCTTGTTAATAAATAAAAATTAATTTCTGATCCCTGCATTTTGATCAACCAACATCACCTGAAGAATGTTGTTCAATCTAGAAAATTTATAGCCGTGAATTTTTTATATATAGTCATTAACCACCCGTGTTTAAACAAATACATTAACATTTATTTAATGAACCAAACCAATATTTGCAATGAGATCCCAATAGATTTTGTCCACTTGAGAGATCAAACCAACACAAAATTCATCAACACCATTCCCATTTTAATATATATAAGATATATATAGATATCTACGTTGGTGTTAATGCTGCATCACAAAAAGAGTTAACAAAATTTGAAAACCAAAGTTAGAGCAAGTTAATCCTGAAAAAATTCATGGCTTACACAGTACAATGCTAAAATCTAACCAATTCACAGGTACAACAGTGAGAGAACGCTTATGATATACAATTCAAAGAAATTGTGGAAAGTATTTTCTCACCATAATGGGCATGTTGTCTTCTCTGCCAACGTTGCCTTGAGAAGCTGGTTTATTTGAGTGGGAGGCCATGTGTGCTTCATAGGCTCTCCTGCTGATGAAACCTATACTGCACTCAAGGCACTGGTGGATTGTAGTAGTGGTTGTGGTGAAGGTACCAGTTGAATCAGATGTGTAATTGAGCATGTCTTGAATATTTCTGCTGTTATCACCATTGTTGCTGGCACACATTGTGTCACTGTACCCTCCAGCATCAGCACTGCTGCATGACACAGAACTGTATGATGGCGGTGAGCGCAGATGTGCTGTTGAGTTGACTGTGCTCATAGCAATGCCTGATGTTGCTATTTGTTGGGAAGTGAGCAAAGGTAAGCTGGATATGAGGTTTGCTGGAATGCTATTTGAGGAAGGTATGGAGCTTATTGAGGTAGTGCTGTTGCCATGTTGCTGCAACTCGCTGTGTAGTCGATGTGAGTGATGCAGAGTAGAAACTTCGTTTGTTGATGAATATCCACGGGTAGCATTCATGCCTGTAGTTAATAGCACTCAATTAGCTAGTGAGAACTGATCATCAATGACTTTTTTCCAAATTTTGCTGCTCACTTTAACTAGGAAAATATCATGACAACCACTTTTCAGCCCATCAAAATCAAAGCCCGAAACAACCTTCTTACTTAAAATGCTTAAAATTAAATTTAAACCTCCTGGATAAAGCCTTACCTTGTGAGTTAGCTACCATTTGTAGCTGAGAAGCTGACAGTATCTGACCTGGCAGCATTTTTGAACTCTCTCCTTGAAGTGCTTCAGCAGTATTGTCAGCATGGTTAACTTCCTCAGAGTTCCTGCACACAAAGCTTTCAAGATTTTATCAGAGAATTTTCTCTTTAAATGCAGCTCAGGTATTTTTGTTGCACTCTTCACAAACCATTCAAGCCATAGTATGTAGGATGCAACATTACAATTGCTTCTCTATGCTGTCATTAGTTACTCAAGACTCAAAAAATTCGGTAGGATAAACTGAAAGAATACTTAGGAATATATAGGCTGCAAATATTTCCTCACCGTTCATCCATCATCATCTTGAGGTCAAGAGGCAATTCCATGGTGCAGTAAGAAACTATCCATGCCAGTACATGATTATTATTTTATAGTCACAAAATATTTGTTCAAGAAATTAACCGTTTTGATTAATTTTAAACAAATTTATATAAATAAATAGAAAATATTTAATTACTTACATATAGAGATACTACAACTCAAATTAACACTTGTTAAAAATTCAATTCAGCCTCTGTAAACAAAACAAAATATAAAGTTGCAGAGTTTTTTTTTATTCTAAAATATTACAAACCTAGAGCAGAGTAAAACAATCAGATAAAAAGATTAGTATTTGAATTTTCTCACAAATTTTTGCTTTAAAAATGAAATGATCAAATTACTTGTTTAACAACACTCTTTATTGTAATATTGATGGTTCAATTTATTGTTCATTTCAGAAGCCATGCATGAACATATGGCAAGTCTTCAAGTCGTTTTAATTTTGTATACCATCAACCGGGGCTACTCGGGACAGATTTGATTGTTTTTTTGTTAATAACTGTTAATAAATTCTTAGGATGAAACATTTCATAAACAAATTTAGGCTCATTTTATAGCTCTTTGCAAGGGCTATCGAATGGCATTGTCAAAAAAATTCCATATGCTATTCCTAAGGTGCCAGACGCAAAATGCAAAATAAAGATTGTCCTGAGTAGCCCCGTCAGTTGGGGCTACTCGGGACAATGGGAATAAAACTTCATTTCAAAACATTTGAAGCATGCAGAGTGTACTCATCCATTACTAACAGTACTCTGAAGTCCTCCTCTTTCATTGTAGACAATGTAGAGGTAGAATAAATGACATTTTCTGTGATTTTTACTTGTTTTTCCTCAATTGATATGATATTACCATATACATTAATTACCATCAACTGGGGTGACTTAGGCCTCGTTTTTGATTCATGCTGGGGTCGTAAACGCCGGGGTCATAAACGCCAGGGTTGTAAACCAGGTCATAAACGCCGGAGTGACTTTGGCCATTGTTTATGACCCTGCTTTGGCCATCATTATGAACACAGCAGAATCCCCCAGTTGATGGTACCATATTATTGATGGGATATTACTGTATTATTGATGTGATATTAAGCTATCCATGAACATGCCATTGAGCATTTACAACAACCTTGTTCACTGCAAGCTTCATATTGCCAGCCTTATAGCATTTTTTCCTGTATCTGTAAGCTTACAGGACGGCTTGTAATTTGTGTGACGATAAGTGAACTTTTTTTCGCTCAGCAAGGTAACTGTAATCAATATTCTTTGTTTTTAATCAATTTTTTTCTTAACTGGAGCCTTTGCTAACTGAGGTTCTACCGTAAATGCGTTTTTGGGGGTGTCCCGAATAGCCCCGGGGGGGTGTCCCGAGTAGCCCCGCCGTGCGGAAATGGCTGCCATTTCTTTTCGGAATGAGATAGGCAAATTCTGTCAATTACATTTTCAAGCAGACACATGGGTGCAACTTTTACGCAATTAAAATTTTTTAATACGGCGAATATTTTTTTGCTACATACCTTAGCAGTTGTAACTTTACAAAATATAGTTTTTCACCATTTTTTCCAGGAATTTTTCAAAGCAAGTAAATGTAGTATTTTTCGACTTCTTTTATACTACATAGATAGGAAAAATGTTGACGTTTACGCAACTATATTTAGTTTTGCAATATTCCAATTAGTTTCGCTACTACAACAGTTTTATGACGTGTCGGAGGCCTGTCCCGAGTAGCCCGGCTTGTCCCAAGTAGCCCCGGTTATGGTATAGCAATAGAGAGAATAAAAGATGGACAGATCAGTAGAGTCTTCCAATTGGCAAATTGTATTCTATCAAATTGATAATACATGTATACAACTATGTCCATCAGACTGATTAGCAAGATTTGAAATTCAACAAAATTATAGGATTTTATAGTTAGACATTGTTTAGGCATAGGATTAAAATTTCCTACTTATTTATGAAATCATGCAGCTCCAAAGTGACAACTTTTTATATATTTGCAATCACACAGCCCAATTGAACGTATTTATTACCAATTAGATAGGAGGAATACAATTTTCTATTCTATTGAGGAATCTATTGGGAATATTGTGGCCATGATTAAAAAAGCAGATATATTTCACACCTGCCTTGTAGCTGCACCTGCCCATGCACCTTGTAGCTGCATGGCACAGTGGCACTGAGCCATTGAGAGCTTGGTTTGACACTCGAGAACAAATGTGGAAACGTGATACCGTACTTTTTGTTTCTAAGCCAGAACAAGAGCTTCCCAGAAAGTTGAGAGATTTCTGCTAGAGAAACAATCTCCCACCTTCAATGCCACACAAGTCAGAAGTCGCCATTCAACCGGAACTGCACATACCTCACTGCAGCCCCACTCATCACTAAAAACCATAGGAATTAAGATTTGTAGGTTTAAATTGCCTCAAAATAACTAAGCAACTGTTTCAATTGTGCTAAAGTTAAGCCCTTTACAAGCCATAAACTTATTTACTAAGTCCAGTGCATGCCTTCCGCCAAATCTCTAATTTTACCCTAGAAACAGTCATCAAACAGTCAATACTTCAGTGGAACACGTGATAATTAGTCCAGGAAAAATAAGGTTTGACCCGGAACAAATTACAAAAGAAACGATTTTTTCACCAATGCTCTAGAAGGGCAATAGAAACAACATGCTAAAAATCCTCTAAAATGCAAGTAGTGGAAGGGTGTCAAATTAAAGATTTAAAAATAAGGCCGCCAAATGGTAATATAAGCCCAATAACACATTTTAAAAATATGACCAACAGTTATTTTTGTGACTGTATGTATGTTTTCATGTAGGGGGTATTCACTAATAATAACTAAATTTCATCCAAGGTGGTAGCAATCTAGTATTTGCAAAAACAGCCACCCATAAAGTGAAAAATTGTGATTATATAGGCATATATATATATATCCTATATATATATTATATATATATAGGAATAATGCCTATTATATATACAGGCATGCACCTGGAGTGTGTGTGTGTGTGTGTGATGCAGGGTGAGTGTGTGTGTCTATATCATAAATGGTGTGTTAATTGTAGTTAGTGGGTAGCATTGTCTAGACCCTCTGGTGTAAGTTTTTAGAACATGACCAGCAAGAGAGGGTGGCCCAGTGGTTACAGTTCAGAGTACCAAGATTGGCGCAGAGAGGCGCAGGTTCGATCCCAGCTCTGTGCGCCAGTTTCTGGTCAGAATCGGCAAGGAGGCTGGGCGGTTAAGCACAGCAGAATTGTAGCAGTGAGTTGCGAGTGCAAGCCTGCAAAATGCTGTGAATGTTCTGCGATGTTAAGAATCGGCAACAGGCCTACGGCCTAATAAATGCTGAAAACGCTATTATTATTATTAAGAGAGCAGCCCTCTGATCAGACTTCAAGACAGGACACACCATATAGAGGTATTTTGTGATTATTACATGCTTATAGTCAGTTACAGAATGTCTAGCTTGTACATAAGCTTGGTAGAGGGTGATCACATCATGTCTTACAGGTAGCACCAAGATGGATGTTGCCCAATGTGCTCTTTGTAGCAGCCTAGCAGGCCTGCCCTAGAAGGTGAAGAATGTGTAACACTAACACCCAAGGGTTGTAAAGGTATCCAGAAAGCCAGTGAAAGAAGAAAAGTTGTAACAGTAATGCCTGGACAAAAAGTACACACACAATGTCGCAAGGACCATTGTAGGTCATTTAGTATTGAAGCCCAGAACAGAAAAAGAGCTAATGAGTCTTCTGCAGATCGAGCACACCAACTGAGATCTACTGGAACCGGCTTTGATTACAAAACTGTATCTATTGCGGGACAGGGGACAGATATGGTGGTAAGAAGAAAGACTTAGTGCTGACACCTGTCAGGGAATACAGTGTTCAGCACTCAATCCTGGGGTCTGAGAGACAAGATGAGTGGGGTCTGGAGGTGAAATCCAGGGTACAGTTTGCGGCTGGAGAGATTGCACTAGTCTTTCTGTACAAGGGTGCTACCGGAAAGTCTCTGGACAAACTTTGATTCAATAACTTTCACAGAAAAGTTGTAGTTAGCAAAGCATTTGTAGACCCCCAGGTGCTTCCACCTACATCAGCAGCTGCCCAGTTTCTTCGTTTGAGGACATTTTGCCAAGTGCAAGAGTGGCTTGGCAACAGAATGAAACCTGATGAGTGGGGATGGGAAATAAGAAATGGACAATGCATGCCTGTTCTCACAGATCAAGAAGTTGCCCCACCTGAGCTACTAGAAATGGTGAGATGCAATTGTTCAACAGATTGTTCAACAAGGAGTTGTGCCTGTCGAAAACGGGATATGGAATGTTCACCAGCATGTGGCCAGTGACATGGTGTGTGCAGTAACACAAGTCAAGTACTTGACAGTGATTCTAACTCTTCCGATGATTGACCTCAAGACAGTAATGGTTGTGGTATAAGGGCAAATACGATACACAGAAGTGTTCAGCTGCATGTAGCCAATGCTGATACTCCTGATGGGTGACATTATTCTATTTTTATATATTGTATAGAATAATCAGAGTTGGGTAACATGGGGCAGCAGGGCCCCCCCTTTTTTAAACTAAATTTTTTATGAAATTTTAATTGATACGAGGTGGTTCTTTGTTATGTTTAAAGGTACAACTAATGAGGAATGTATGATGTGAATTAGACGCTGATAGAGTTATTCAATTTTTAATGAAACACTTATGATAAGTGTCAAAATGGGCCCATTGCCCAACCCCTGGGGCAATGGGCCCATGGGCTTTGGGCAAGGTTCCCACCCTTGGTCCCTATACCACAATTGCATATTTTTTGTTTAAAAATGATAATACAACACTTTACAGTTAGAAATAGGAAAAATGTAATGAAAAATATGACATTCATTCATTTATTAACAACTTAAAAAATCATATCCTTAACTTGAAAAAAATATACTCTTGGCTTAATAAATCTATCACTGACTAGAAGAAAAATATTTCATTGACATAAAAATGTATATATTCTTGACTGGAAAAATATATCCTTGCTATAAAAAATTCATCCTTGACATGAAAAAATGTATCGTTGACTAGAAAAAATATATTTA